GTAATAGGAACATTGGGGGTTGTGACCCCCAAACTGGGAGAGTGGCTCCAACAGATCCCAGGAACAACATCTGAGATCTCTGTCCAGAAGAGTGCAGTTCTAGGAACAGCTAAGATACTGCACAGGACCCTCAAGCTCCCAGGCCTCTGGTAGAGGACCCGAGCTTGAAGGAAGGAATACAAGACCGCCCCAAAGTGGGGGGCAAGTAGGGAATTTTTACATAAACAGTAAGTGATTTTAAATGTAGCTCAGCCACCACATTACATGAAATTCACTCAAGTCGTTGCAAAAGCGAAACTTAATAACCCAAATGTTGTTTCATAAAAACTGATCTTTTTCATTTACAGAAAACAGAAGCTGAATAATCGAACATAGCGTTAATTTTACCTAAGGCTATCCACAGCTGTCTCACAAGCTGGGCCTCGTACTTTAGCTGTGTGTTATCTGTCTCTGTTTTTAGGTCCATTTTGTAGTTTCTGCACATTTCAAAAGCTGGTTTTACAGAAAATGCATGTTTCTATTGCAGAGTGTTTTGTTTTATATAGTGGCATGGATGTTTTCAACAATGCAGATATTGTGCTTTACCCTTGATGGCCAGTGCAGACACACCACATTGGGAATAATAGTTCTATGACATGAATAACACTACTGACACAACGTGCTTCCACAACTTCTAATTGTGTGCACATTCAGTATATATTGTACAGTACTGTGTGTCTGTGGTGTAACATGGCTCCAGGTAAAGGGAGAGCTGAGTAGCTAAATGAAAGGCTATAGGTTGATTGTGCTTATGTACCAGGACCACCCTTTGGGTTACGGCAAGAGGAACAGTCGCAGCAGCATGTTCCGCATAGTGCCCAAGTTCAAGAAGGAGAAGGCCACCAAGAAGACAAGCCCTCAGTCAGGTAGGCCACGTCTCCAGTCCGTCACTCAGAGTCTGCCCCACCTGCATGGGGATGTAACAAGAAACATCATTTACACCGCCTGTCAACATGTAGTTACATTTCAGCTTGTTGCTGCCTTTATTTTGAAAGGATGGCTGCATTAAATCCACATGCACTGATTGACAGCTGAAGGCTCAAATGTTGCTCACATAATTGAACATAATCGACCATGTGTGACTTCATCTGTCAGTCACAGCATGACGTTTAGCAGTTTGGATGTTGTGTTGTTTCCCAAATCATTTCCTGTTGTCAAATACATCACATCACCTGCTTGTACCATCCTTTGTTTACTCATTAATACTGTATAACTGACCACTGTCCCCTGAATGAGCAAGATGCACATTCACACACTCGCAGTCACTCACCAAGCCCCTCACTACCATCATATTACAGTCCATGCATACTATTACTATTACTCTGTGGTCAAAACTGAAAGAATGGGTGTGTTTGAGGTGTTATATTCCACAGTCTCAACCCAGCCATCAACTTGCACCCTCTCCTCTCCATTCATACTCATCTAGCTGTCGACATGACGTCAGAAGGCATAAAGTCAGGAGAGGAACAAGGCTGCACCAAGGAAACGCCTGCAGGGAACAGATGTTACATTTGAACACAAACAAGCCACAAACCAAATAATTTTTATTGCGTATTGTTTAAAATAAATCAAGTTAAAAAAAAGTCCATCTCAGATTTCAGTCCACTCTGATTTGATGCAATGAAGTGGATTTTTGTTTCTAAACCTAACAGGAATAACCAGGCTGGGTCAAACAGTCAGATCAGGTGTGAGAGTGTATACCCTTCCTGTCATCGCTGGGCTGTATCTCCTGCAGACTGCACAGGCTTCCACCTCCCTTTACTTCCTACTGTTTCTGTGTGTTCTGATCTGGTCCACCATACAGTGTGCATGCCCCCGGCCGTCCTGGAACGCCACTGAGCACTGCCTTGTTCTGACCAACCTTTAGCCTCTGTCAGCCTCCTCCATCCTCCGCCAGCTGCCGCCAATGCTCTCCCTCCTCCCTTCCTTTCTGATGCTCTCCCTCCCCGTTGTTCTCCCCATCTTTCCTTTCAATAACTGAAAATTATTTGTGCCCACCTGTGGGGTGTGTAATATTCACATATGTGAGAGAGAAACCTGAGTGGGACAAGTGAAGTGGGAGAGCGACAGTGTGCGTGTGCTCTGAGCCTCTCTCTGCTCTGCTCCGTGTGTGTGTGTTTGTGTGTGCGTAGTGGAAAGATGGGGCACAGAGGAGGTGGGCATCTGGCTGGAACAATTGAGTCTGGGGGAGTACAGGGACACCTTCATCCGGCACGACATACGAGGCTCGGAGCTGCTTCACCTGGAGAGAAGGGACCTGAAGGTACACATATACACCTGCTGACACACCTCAGTCCCTCAGTGAATCTGTGTTAACCCACTCCCTGACCCACAATCAACTCTTCTTCTCTGTCTCCTCTTACGTTCTTTAACCTGTCAGATGTCTCCCTGTCCTGCTGTGCTGCATTGCTCTGCTTGGCTTCTTCTGTCTAACTGTTGCTTGATGAAGGAGACTCACTGTGACCCACTAACACTGTGTATTTGCTGAGAGGGGAAGCCTAGAGGGAAGAGCTGGGCTGGGCATGAATAAGCCAAACCCGAATGGGTTGTAGAGGGCTAAAACTGCAAAGCTAAGCAACAGAGCCAGACACAGTCTCGTCAAGTTTAAATTAGCTGATGACGTGTGTATGTGTACATAGATACACATCACAGTTCCACTCAATGTGGAGCCTTCACGTGAAGCCTTCCTCCTCAAAGTGCTGGTGTCTCTCCTTGGTGGAAATTATGTTGCCTCTATTTCACTTACACAAGAGCATTTTGAGAAATGAAGAAATGAAGAGAACAACAACGAGCTCCCCTTCAAGTAAAAACTCACCATGTAGCGTTAGGTTGAACATGTTTTTTTTAATATTTATGAGGGATGGTATTCATCTTGTTTTCCTGCACACAGTCTGCAGTTCCACATGTTTCCTTTATACCTGGTTTAGTTGTCAGGTGAACCCCCTTTCCAGATCCGGACTAAATTCCCAGCATGAAAGTGACAAAACAGTAAATGCCAATTGTGTATATAGTGTAGTTGGTCTAAAGCATCTATGTATTTCCAGTTAACAAAAATCATAGACCGACTGAAAGCAGATTTTTGACTCAGGTATCAGTATTAATATTATCCATAAATGGATAATATACAGTAAACAGATTTTTGATCTCTTACATGTGGTTATTAAAGAATCATGAACATTTTACAGTTGAATATATTTGTCAGTCCAAACAATGTGATGGAAATGCTGTTTCAGAATTAACTCTAACATGTCTTTTCTTCATGTTGCTAATTGACCGACATAGACTCGGTTAGACTAGCGTATCGGCAGTGAGCTGACAGAGAGCAGAAACTCCAGACAAGCTGAAGCTAAAAAATGGGCTTAAAGTTTTCAAACTGACTGAGTAACCAGTAGCAGGATACGGTGCCATTTCTCTGTTGATGTCTTATGGACTTAGTATTTTCTAACAACAAATAAATGACGTAAGCTTTTGGAAAACTTCAGGGAATAAGAGGGGAGAAAACGTTTGGCTTTTCAGTTCTCCTTCATCACCTTGAATTGAAGTTAAAAGATCATTTAAATGTGTTCAAATAAGTTGTGTAAAAGTAGCTTAACCACTCCAAACTGTGAATTTTACTATAGTCTTCCTTTAAATGTCCATTATTGCCACCTACATGTGATT